AAATATATAGCTGTCCGCACCTCATCAAAGGGCAGACTTTGAAAATATGCCATTTCCTTATTGCCTAAAAAGGAAACTAATTTTCATACATATTTTTTGAATCAGTATGTATACAACTGAGTAATGCAAACTAATTGGGTTATCAGTTTTCGACTTTTTAAGTTGGCTATGAAATTTTAAAAATTTCATATATAATTTCTTGGGAAATCTTGAGTTTACAGTTTTTTTTTCTACCTATCATTTTATGTTTATTTCGGAATTATTTAATTTCTGTGAAACATAAACGTTTCAAAAACGTTTATATGCTTTAAATGAAGGTGATATATTTCACACTTTGCAAATATTATCCCGGGGGCATTTATTGACGTTGTATTGTCGACTTATGGAAAAGTAAATGAGCCGTGTCACGACAAAACCAACATAGTGGGTTTGCGACCAGCATGGATCCAGACCAGCCAGCGCAACCGCGCAGTCTGATCAGGATCCATGCTGTTCGCTTACCAACTCTATTACAAGTGGAGAAACTGATGGAGAAACTTGAGCAGCCGACAGTGCTGTCACTGGTAAGACTATACAGATTTGCAAAGTCTAATCCTTAACCAGCTAAATTTTTCAAGACTTCAATTTTGCAACTACTTATTATCAAGATAGAAATTTAAAAAGTTAGTTGGCCAAAGTACAGAATCTGGCCAGACTGCACGGATGTTTAGCTGTGCTAGACTCTTTACTGATTAATTGAATACCGACCCGGCTGGGTAAAGGCGCAGCGTTGTCTATGTAATAGAAAGAGCACCGAAACACGAGGCTATCTGATTTGTACGAGGGGGCGTAGTCCCCGAGTATTAATCAGATTGCCGAGTGTTTTGGTGTTCTTTCTCTTTTGTATCATAGTCAAACATAAAAGCGCATTCCCTGTTGTCACAATATGAAACCCCGGCAAAAATGAACCAATGAACAAACATCTGAATATGACATTTCTGTCGCTTTCCCTTTCTCTGCCGTCAAAATATGTAAACCCCAGCAAAAATGAGCCAATCAATGGGCATGCTCTGGAGTGCGGGTAACTAATACCCGCACTCCAGTTAACGCACTGTGCATGTATATGTATACGATTTAACCCTGACACATTTTCAACAGAAAGGTCTCCAAACTATGATACAAAGTTGTAATATTAACATAATTACATTTGATCAAAATCGTCGGACAAGTAACCTAAGTATTGCTGGCTGTGTAGGTTCAAGTCCCTTCAGGAACAAGTCGTGGTCTCCTTGATTAAGAAACTTGATACTCATTACTAAGAACCCACACCGTAGTACACAGGTTTTGTTTAAGTTTTTCTGTTATCGTATCTTAAGCTAATTCAAAATTTTAACAAATTCTTTTTTTACAGCTTTTTTATCTGCCTATATGTTTTTTTTTTAATTGTAGCATAAGCCTTTAAACTTTCATTTGTAATATATTGACATTTTACCAAATCAATAAGTGCATCGAAGAAATGCTATTTAGTTACCAAAACAGGTAAGTGTACTAAACATGATACGCAGGATTAATGGGGCCGCATGAAATATATTTTTCATTAAATAAAATGCATTTACTGTGTTAATATGTAACATGAAGAGGACCCTGTGATCAAACTGGTCGAAATAATGATTATATATTATGTCGATTCTTGTCTTCGTTCGATCTATTTGCGTGATTTCGTTTGTTTGTTTGTTTGATTGGGTTTTACGGCACACCGACACAGTATAGGTCATACGGCGACGTTTCAGATTTACTGGTGGTTGAAGACCTCAGCTGCCCTTCCGGGCATTATTTCAGGCACAAACGGATTATTTCAGGCACAAACGGACACCTGAGTAAAACCACCGACGTTCCGTAAGCTAGCCGGATAGCTTTCTCACATAAAGAAATCCAAAGTCCCTGTCGGGATTCGAACCGACAGCAGTGAGGGGCGAGTGGTTTGAAATCAGAGATCTTGACAACTCAGCCACGAACATCCCTTTACGTTATTTCATTCACATTTGACAGATTTTAGCAATATACTTTTGATATATTTAAAATGTAGAAGCGAAATCACTGCAAAACTACACAATTCATCTTATCACTTTTTGCAAGCACAGGCACCTTTTACTTCTAATAAGTGAATCATTTATTGCGAGCGTATTAATGCAGCGTGTATAATTTTTGTGAGCACAGAAGTTAGATGCGTTTAACAGCTGTGACTGCTTCCTAGACTATCCGTGAATTTACCATACGTTTTTATGCCACCGCAGCATCTGCGATGCGGTGGCATATAGCGATTCACCTGTGTATGTGTGTGTTTGCGCGTGTGTGTGTGTGTGTGTGTGTGTGTGTGTGTGTGTGTGTGTGTGTGTTATATAGATTATATAGTGAACTTAAAAAATCTTCTTGTGAAAAACCACTAGTCCAATTTCAACCAAACTTGGCAGGATTGATCCTTGGGTGAAGGGCTTCCAAAGTTGTTCAAAAAATTTAATTCCGTGCAGAAATCTGTTTGCCATGGCAACCAAAAGGAATTATAAGAAAAATTTGAAAAATCTTCTTGTAAAGACCCAAAAGTCCTAGAGCTCAGATATATTTTGCATAACGCATTGTCTGGTAGACCTCTACCAAGATTGTTCAAATTATAGCCCTGGGGTCAAAATCGGCCCGCCGCGGGGGTCATTGATTTCCACTATATGTACATATAGTAAACCAAAAGGAATTATAAGAAAAATTTGAAAAATCTTCTTGTAAAGACCCAAAAGTCCTAGAGCTTAGATATTTTGCATAAGGCATTGTCTGGTAGACCTCTACCAAGATTGTTCAAATTATAGCCCTGGGGTCAAAATAGGCCCCGCCCCGGGGTCATTGATTTTCACTATATGTACATATAGTAAAAACTTAAATTACCTTCTTGTAAAAACCCAAAAGGCCTAGAGCTAAGATATTTTGCATAAGGCATTGTCTGGTAAATACTTACCAAGATTGTTCAAATTATAGCCCTGGGGGTCAAAATCAGCCTGCCCTGGGGGTCATTGATTTTCACAATATGTAGATATAGTAAAAACTTAAAATACCTTCTTGTAAAGACCCAAAAGGCCTAAAGCTTAGATATTTTGCATAAGGCATTGTTTGGTAGACCTCTACCCAGATTGTTCAAATTATAGCCCTGGGGTCAAAATCTGCCCCGCCCCGGGGGTCATTGGTTTTCCTTATATGTATATAGTAAAAACTTATAGTAAAACTTTAAAAATTCTTCTAGCAATTGACAAATGCTAAAGGTTAGATATTTTGCATGAAACATTGAGAAGTGAACTTCTAGCAAGATTGTTCAAATTATAGCCCTGGGGTAAAAATTGCCCGCGCCCCGGGGGTCATTGATTTTCAATATGTACATAATAGTAAAAAAATCAAAAAATCTTATTATCTGAAGGTACAAGGCTTAGAGCTTTAATATTTGTTAAATGATATCATCTATAGGTACTCTTCCAAAAGGTGTTCAAATTTTGTCTCTAGTGTCAAAATTAGCCCCGCCCCGGGGGCCATAGGTTTTCTTTATATGTATATAGTAAAAAGTTAAAAAAACATCTTCTCTTAATTTACAAATGCTAGAGTTAAGATATTTCGCATGAAACATTGTGTAGTGAACCTCTAGCAAGATTGTACAAATTATAGCCCTGGGGTCAAAATTGGCCCCATCCCCAGGGGTCCTTGATTTTCACTATGTACATATAGTAAAAAATTCTAAAATCTTCTTGTCTGAAGGTACAAGGCTTAGAGTTTGATATTTGGTATATTATATCATCTATGGGTCCTCTACAAAAGTTGTTTTAATTATGCCCCTAGTGTTAAAATTGCCCTGCTCCAGAGGCGATAGTTTTCCTTATATGTATAAAGTAAAAACTTGAAAAATTTTCTTCTCTGAATTGAAAAATCTTCTTTGAATTGACATAGGCTAGAGGTTAAATATATGGCATGAGACTTTGTGAAGTGAACCTTTACCAAGATTGTTCAAATTATAGGCCTTGGGTCAAAATTGGTTCCGCCCCGGGGGTCATTGATTTTCATTATGTACATATAGTAAAAAAATAAAAAATATTTTTGTCTGAAGGTACAAGACATAGAGCTTTGATGTTTGCTATATAATATCATCTATAGGTCCTCTACCAAAGGTGTTCAAATTTTTCCCCTGGTGTCAAAATTGGCCCTGCCCGGGGGCAGTGATTCTCATTATGTACACATAGTAAAAACAGAAAATAAAACAAATGTTTTCTGAATGGAAGAAAGCTACAGCTTAGATATTTGACTTGAAATGTTGTTTGGTGGACCTGTATCAAGATTGTTTTGAATTAAACCCTTGGGTCCAAAATTTTGCCTTGTCCAAGGGGACAGTGACCTACTTTCTTGTCCTTTGATGTACAGCAATGAAATTTTGACCATGTGCACAGTTTTAGTTGTAAAATTGAACTTTGATATCAGGTGACCTAGATTTTGATGATGTGACCTACTTTCTTGTCCTTTGATGTACAGCTATGAAATTTGAACCATGTGCACAGATTAAGATGTAAAGTGAACTTTGATTTCAGCTGACCTAGATTTTGATAAAGTGTCTTACTGTGTTGTCCTTTGATGTAGTCATGAAATTTAGGCTGTGTGAAATATGACCTTCACCACCAAATTCACTAGACTCGCGTGCATTGATATATTCCTACTCTGATCTTTTATTGAGTTAACAACAGATTTAACTACTAATCTGATAATAAAAATAAGATTATTTATAAGGTCAGGGATCTATGCATTATGACAATCTTCAAAATTGTATAGAAACAAAAAAAATCTGTTCCTACACTACTATTTAGTATTGTATTAATGCGGTGGCATAGCATTTTTCTCAAATGCAATCTTGTTCTTTTTGTTTTACAGAGTAAAATATTAAAAGAATTTGGTATTTTATCGATACAAATACATGTACATGTATTGAAATAAAGCAAAACAAATTCTATACGAAATAATAAACATTATTAAGCATAATAAATATTGAATATTTACATTATAAATACGTATCTTTAAAATATTATTTACAGAATGCATTTAATAATCGGTCTACATGATTCAAAATACGGCACAATATCTCCGCGTTTTATAACGTAAATATCATTCAAAGTTTTGTCCAGTGGATAAACGTTTTGCTCATGGAATAATCTTCGCGTAATGATACTAAGCACTGATTGGTCAAAACGATGGCACCGTCCATCGAAAGTCTGTTCCATATGACATAATATTTTTTCTAAACTTCCGGTTGGCGCAATGCAATCTTGATTCAATGCGCATGTCGCCCACGCTTGAACAACAGCACGTGACATCCGGTCATAATGAAACATGACCGTTGTAGCCCACGTTTCTCCAAATGGTCTAAATTTGCAGCGATCTTCACCTAAGAACTTGAATGTTCGTCCGTCTGTTTGCTTTGTCAAACTAAGTTCAACTCTGTCCGAGGTGGAAACTGTGTACAGCATACTATATTTCTTGGTATACATTACAGCAGAATCTATATCGTTGGTCGTGAATCTGACAGAACTGTCCATCCACCATACAAAACCAAACTCCATTAGTAATTGCTGAAATAATGACACAGAAAAGATCATATCATATCACTATGCCGGCATGGCCGAGTGGTTACGCGTAGGATATAAATATCTCTAGCCGCGTGTGTTTAATCCCTGTCATAGACAAGTCATTGTTTCCTGTAACATGAAACTTTACACTCAATGCTCAGTACTGGTTGGTTCAAGGAACGGATTCGAATGTACCAGCTTAAAGCGGCCTACGCAATCGAACTAAAATAAACTACGTATTAACAAAAGATGAAAATGGAAAGTAGATACTTCGAAAACATTTGTGTACGGCACCGCTTATGACGTTGTGACAACGTTAAGGCTATACCGTATGCGCATTGATAAGTGCGCTAAGATATAAATGTGGTGGTAATAGTGTGTTTAATTGGAAAAACTTTTGTTTCCTTGTAAATAGAATATTATGCATTAATAAAGTTTTTGTTTTATAATCATTTAGTATTTCTGGATCACCCCTCATACTGACGTCATGCTTAATCAAAGAGAACGGGAGAAAATATCTTGTGGCCACTGGATGGTTTTCACGAGATAGATAAATAATTACACATGTCAACTCTGTAACACCGTATAACAAAGGTACATTTTGTATTTAAAGAAGATAAGAAAATAATTATACCAAAAACAGTGGCCACGTTAGCATTACAAAATACAAAAAATGCATTTTTTTTTAATAAGAATAGATCATATAAGTAGAATAATGTGGAATAAAAACATTAGTACTTAATTAAAATATTGCTTTTATATCAGGATAGTCAGCTCACGTGACTTGAGTATTGCTAATTGTTGATTCGTGTGTCTTCATAATCAAGAAAAATAATTAATACCAACCAAACCGGCAGTATTGTGGTGTGTGGCAATTTTGAAATTTTTTAATATAAAATTAACCACTATCTTATTCAGAAAATGGGCTTACTATATACATTGAATATTGACATTAAAAACTTCCTGTCGCCTTGTTTAACTGAAACATTATATCTGCGACGTGTGGCAAACAGCCTGGTAAATGTAAATCTATATCCTTGACAAAAGAATACTGTATTATGATGCACAAATGATGCACGAGCAATTTATGTATTAAAACTGCCGGTTTCATTTTACCTGTACAATAATCGGTTTAAATGCGTAAGTATGTAATACTTTCACGTGAGGTGGAAACTGGTCAAACGGGAATCTCCTTATTTCACATTTGCAGTGTTTCAATACCTGAAGAAGAACAGCAAAAACACATTGGAGCAGATAGAAATGGAAATCAAAACGTTTTTGTTTATTGTAAAAATAAAAATAGAATTAAGGTAGAACACCCCTAATGGGCATTATAAGGAACTGTAAAATTGACAATATAGGACAGTTATATCCCTTAAAGGTTACCTGTATGGAAAATTAAAAAAAAAGACGGACTGGTTTATGAGTTATGGACATTTTTCTGAACTAAAACGTTGCTATTAGAAGGGCTTTTTTCAGAAATGAGGAAAATCTATAATATTATCATTATGAAAACTGTTTTCCTATTGTTCATTGTAAAGAAACAAATAATAACATTCAGGTAACAAATTAAACTAGCAAAATGATTGTTTCTAAACAAAATGTTTTTAATATGTATAAAAATGTAACCCTACCCCACCCACTTTAAACACCTATTTGACAATTTTCCTATGTAAAAACCCTTATTCAAAATATCCCTAAAGTTTACCACAATGAGGGGCTGTTTTCAAAGTTTGCCTAAATTTTCTTAAAAGTATATTGGTTAGTCCTGCAAAATATAAAATACTTTTACCGTTATTAAACTTTGAATATATCTCACAATGTGGTATCATATTTGCTATTAAATTTGTCATTATTTAGAAAATAAATACCTGCAATAATTATATAATTAAAATCAAACACTTTTTTCTTCCATAAGGAATTTGAGAGACATATAAAAATGTTGAAAAGGGAAAAAAGAAAGAAAAAAAATTGCCCCCGCTGTGGTTTGAACCCACGCCCAGTTGACATTGATTCTAGCCTACTTGAATACTCTTCAAAGTGGAGATAATGCATTAGGGGTATACCACCCACATTTTTTTTTTCATATTCTGTGGCATATGAGATAAGTATGTGTTATACATCTACACGTTACCGTAATTATAAGCAAAGATGCAAACAAGCAACAATGCAAAATTCGACAAAATGCGAACATACAACTAGACTAAAAAATGCGAAAATGCAAATATGCGAAAATGCAAAGAAACGACCTGAAAGAGGCAAAATCACGACAAATTTAATGCATCGTATTTTATCCTCATTTATTAGTGTTGTCCTTTCGCCTTTTTACATCAAAAATGAGAACATGCGAAAAATTAAAGAAACGACAAAGTTGAATGTATTTTCGCATTTCATAGCAAAAATGGCGTAAATCAGCCACCATAATCATTTGACTTAACAACCAATGCAAAGTCGCACTTATGCTGGAATTGAGTAAAGTTGAAAAACAAATGCAATCTTCACATAATGCATAACCTGCAGCTTAAATAACAGAGGAATCCGATCCAATGCGTTTTGTACGCAAAGCAGAAAAAAAAACCATTCGCAAGTAATGTAGGCCCTACATCTTGCACAAACTTTTTTGATGTCCAATTTACTTACCATTCGAAGCTGACGTGACGTCATACCGAGGTCATACACAATAATTTTCACGTTTTTTGCATACTTTGGATTTTCAAGAAATCTCTTATGAAGAGAATGAAATAGACCCTGTGATTGTGGGTAGTACTTCCGGTCAATTGCAGTCGCGAAAACTGGAAACTCTTTCATTCGGTATGGTTCGGACATGTTCACTCCCACTTTCCAGAGGTAGTCGTCTGCTATTCCGCGCGGGTAATTCTGAATAACATCTAAATTTTCCTCTAAAGAACTGTTAAAAGTTTCGTTGCACATAAACGAAAGTTCTGAAATAGGAAAGATAAAGTTACAATCTCTATTTTGTTTGATTTAATTTTTCAAATCAAAGCGGCACTGATAGATTGGAATGGCGACTTTGCAGTTGCTCAACTCTATACAATGTTACAATACTAAATCTATTTTGACAGTCTGTGAATTATTTTTAAACCGCCAAAAACACTATCAGAATCTAATGGGAATAAAATAATAAATAAATAATAAATAAATAAATAACAACACCTTAATTCACGAAACGTTGACTACTTAATTCTACAGCAACTCTTAAGCCGCCAATTAATTTTAAATTTAAAACTTGAATTTTTTTATCTAACCTTTGGTGTTATCGTTTGGTATAAAGGCAGGTTCTATAAAATCTTCTTTCGGTATTCCTGAAACCAAATATATATAAAGCAATGTATGTCTCAAAAGGTTATATATATGTTGAATGGAATAAAAAATGTATTCAGTTCTTAGTTTTATGTCCCTTTAATTATAAGCGCGTGTATACTGGGTCAGTTTCAGTATATAATAGCATGTTTAATTATATGTATAATTTAACCCTCAATCCCCTGAATATCTCAAATGGAATTAACCAGCTTCCACATTTGTAACTGACCATTATCAATTATTAGGGATATCAAGATGTAAATATGGAGTTTGTAAACCCTCAGTATAGAGCCTGGTCAGAACGTGCAGTGTGACCTGGGTCAGTATTTGTGGCAAAGGATAATCATTCTGGATCGGTACAAGCATGTTAAAGGTTGGAATATAATTATAATAACATACCATCAAACATGCTGAAGTACAGGATCAACAACAAAAGCAACGTGGTAGTGTTGATAATGGATACCTTACCAAACACGTGCCAACCTATAAATAGAAATAAAAAGTGTTGCAACACATTTGGCGCAGCATAAAAAACCCGAGTGGAAGCCCTCTAACCTAAGATTTCCTAAAGTGGCATTTCAACCACTTACGAATTTCGTTCCTACAGGTTTTTGCTTTTTATTTTACGTTAAAACAGGCCGTTTTCTTATAAAATTAATAATTATGTTATTCAAATAAGATGATGATAATAATGATAATATTAATAATAATAATAATAACATAACAACAACAACTACAACAACAATCAAACACAAAAAACAACCAAAGACAACAACAACAACAACAACAAACAAACAAAAACCAAGAAATATGTTAAGCATTGAGCATTGTGCAAAAAGTAAAGTCGATGCAATAAATATTGGTTTCATTCATTGACTTAATTTTAATTTCATATGCGATGTATAAAAGGACCATTATTATTTCGATAAAGTACCGATTTAGAATCTACAAAGCTCTGAGTAACCTGTTAATTGAAAGAAAAAAAAAAGAATACAAAAAAAAAAAAACAACAAAATAAAACAGCTTTACCTTGCATTCGATTCATTTTTTTAATTTGTTCTTTGTTATAATTTCCAGAAAATGCGTAAACAATAACATCCACTTTAAATAAGTCTTCACTAAAAGTAAGCTAACTGTATATTAAATAAAAAAAACGGATACCCGGAAATATATTATCTGTTTTACAAATTAGATGTCGCCGCGGGGTATTCGGCTTGAACAGAACGGCCATGTCGTGATGTTTTTGATGCTCAGCATGTTCGAAAACAAGAAAAGCAATATACTGGTAAATCATAGTTTTGTTTGATAACGCAATATCTTTAAATGTTTTCTTTGTGTTTACATGCGTATAAGTTGAGAAAATTTTACCCTATCACCGTCTTTAACGATCGCGACTTTTCGGCACTTTCTCCAATCGTTAAACATCGGCACTTCCCGTATACTTCGGATGAAGGGCAGTACTAAAAGAGTATAGCTGTTTGATACCTACTTCTATTATGTTTTTTCTTCTTCAATTTACCCGCGTCACATAAATGGAAAGCTATAAATAATGACACAATTCTGAAACTTTACAGCTGACATCAAAACATAAACAAACAAAATGGCGGAATAAAGTGACTGAAGTAGTTCCAATATGTCGCCTTATTGTTTGAATTTTTTGTTGGTCATTTAAAATAATTTCACAGCCAGAAATACTCATGATTTGTGACAGAACATTGGTTAGCTGGCTTACCCGATTTACGCAGTTAATACCACCCTTCAGAATATAATTGAAACAATAAACACATATTATTGTATTACATGGCTTAATTAATTGAAATAAAATATTAGTCTATATTAAATTTATAATATAAATATATTTAACATTATTTATAAACCTATCATTTTTACTGAAAAAGAAAATGAAAAAGAAAGAGAGCAGAAAACAATATCCGTATTCTTAAAATGTCGAATTTTCAAATTGTACACCAAGGTAAGTATATTTCGACACGTGAACCGAAAATATTTCATTTCTTTAAAGGCCCGATAAGCTTCAAATTCACGTATTCAACTTAGTGAGTTCAAAATTTTAACTTCGTGAATTAACGTTTTCAACATAGGCCTACGGAACTGACGAGTTCTCGATTTCAGTCTCATGAAATCGAGAATTCGTGAAGTTGAATTTGTGAAGTTGTAATCGTGTTTCATAAAGTTAAAATTGTGAATTCGTGAAGTTGAAATCGTAAATTCGTGAAGTTGAAATCGTGAATTCATGAAGATGAAATCGGGAAGTTAAAGTGTCCCTATCGGTCTTTCGTATGTGTCCTGGACAATTGATACTGTACTTTTATTACTATAGTAGATAAATTTTTGAAAAGTTATATGGCCTAGTATAAACGCATGTAATTGCGTATATAACTCGACCAATTATGTGTTGCTTTTGCAAACAGCCGTTTTTACATAGCCATATAACCGTGCCCAGTTAAAACTACAAAACAATTGTCACAGTTTCAACTTAAATATTACACTACATGTATAAGAATTATGTTACAACCAATGTTGCAGTAATTAAGCTCGGTTGATTATATATACTTTTAATTCAATAGTGAATTATACACATATTGGGTTGGGTGTGTTAATTAATGTAATGTACTTTATGCTATTTTAATCAAACATGCCGCTACTTATATGCAAATGCCACTATCAAATTGAAAGTTTGACTCGCTTTCTTGCTTGCTTTCTAGCTATACAACCTACCTACGGGCATGCCCTGACCTGTACACCCCTCCCTTGCCCTCCCTTGCCTCTTACCCATTTTTAGTTTTCTTAATACATTTCAAGTACTGAAAACCACACACCTTCATTTGATGAAAAGGGTAAATTACTTCATAAACTAACAAATATTAGACGCTACTAAAATTATGCAAGTGAAATTATATATTTTCTTACATGAATGCTTTAAGATATCCAGTGTTTTAAATTTCTTCCATTTATTACATCTTAGTTTTAAGTAAGTACAATCCATTTTTACGTATTAACTGCGTCTTTTATGTGTCTGCCTTTTTGTACGTAGTTGTTCATAGTACTGCCTTTGTTCATGTGACTGCCTTTGTTCACATGTCAGACTGCCTTTTTGTACGTCGTAGTTTTCGTATTTGATGCGCATGTCTAAATGTACGTCGTTGCTGTTTTTTTATTTTATGTGTACACTGGAGTTTATGTATTTTATGCGCTGGTTTTGAAATTATTGTTCTCTTTATTTATGTGTCTGCCTTGAATTACGTCACATTTTCCATATATCATGAGCCTGACTTTTTCTGATGATATATTCGTATCTCACGCGCTTGTCTTTTTATGTATCGTTATTTTCGTATTTAAGGCTCCTATGTAGTAGTTGCCTATCTTTTTGAACGCCATATATTTCTTATCTCATGTGTCGTTTTTTATGCACGTCGTATTTTTTTGTATCTCGTTTGCCCGTTTGTTTTTTATAAGTCGTAAAATCTTGTCTTACATGTCCTATCTCATGTGTAAGTCAACCTGACTTTTTCTAGTGTGCCTACTTTTTCTTTACCTTGTAGTTTTGTATCGTATTCCCCTAGTTACATGCATAACATTTTATTAAACCGATTATCCGTCTATTTACATCTGAAAAAAAAAACAAAGAGAGGGAAATATGATAAGGTATTATGTCAGCTGCGTGAAAACAAGAACGTATTTTTTGTATCATTAAATTCACATTCGTTTTATGTGTAGATAAAATAGCTGTAGATTGATTTAAATATGACTACTAGTCTCTTATAGGTAATGCGTTGGACTGTGAATCAGTAGACCCGGGTTCGATTCCAAGTCAGTAACTTTCTTTGAGATTTTTCATTAAATCCTTTCTACGGTCATCCGCACGTCGTACCTCTGCTCTGATATGAACAGAAGTTATCAGTTCCTTGCAAAAGTGATAACAACTAGACTATCTGCACAGGAACGATGCGGTAGCTGTAGATTTTTGTGGTAAACATCTTGTGGTTTACTGCTGCGATCCGGAGGCTAAACTTCCAACACCATCACCAAATATCTGACTGTTTTTCACTAACTATACGGTGCAAAACAAATATAATTATTTCACAGGTTTTAAAATTTAACAAATGAGCCGCGCCATGACAAAACCAACATAATGCGTTTGCGACCTGCATGGACCCAGACCAGCCTGCGCATCCGCGCAGTCTGATCAGGATCCATGCTGTTCGCTTACAAACCGTATGACAAGTAGAGAAACTGATAGCGAACAGCATGGATCCTGATCAGACTGCGCGGATGCGCAGGCTGGTCTGGATCCATGCTGGTCGCAAACCCATTATGTTGGTTTTGTCGTGACGCGGCTCATATAATTCCAGCGTTTACACCATGTGATATTCCAAAACAAATCATCATATAATCAGCTCTTATAAATTTAGCCTAGTATTCATTTTCTTAGTTCAGATCATTTATATCAAATATATTTAATATTGTACTCCATCTAGCCTCTTTTTCATTTTCCGAGTCCAAAAATTAACCATATCGAATCCGTACAATACAAAAGAAAAAAAAAAGAAAAGGAAAAGTTGTTGTATGTTGAGCGTTTTCTGTAATATAGATGCGTATGCTAGGGATACATATCGTAAAATGACATCTTGTTATTAGATTTTAATTATAATTTATATGATCTTAGATTATGATCTCAAATTTAAGTAGATCGCCAGCCTTGTTTTCGAAATATCTGCCTTTGGTTTGGTTGGAACATATTTATTTAAGCTCGATTGCGAAACAAGTTCTTGCAATTTATATAAATCACTTTCGAGTCCGCTTCCTGGAACCAACCAGTACTGGTGTCATGAAAAAAACATGGTCGTGACCCGATTAGGGCTTGAACCTATGATCCCTGGTTTGAGAGGCAGACACCTTAACCACTAGGCCAACCCCCCCCCCACTTAAATCAAATTATCTGCCATTGAATTGCTTGTGATATATCTTCTCGTACACCACTGCAAAACCTATATTGGACCCGCCAGCATCTCGTCCAAAATTAGTTTTACAGCTGTGTACTCCAGCAATAGAATTCAGTATTGTACTCAGTAATATATAATACAAATAAATTTACATGCGCTCAGAAATATGTTTTATAGGCTACAGTTCAAAACTTTTCTCCTAGAACGCGGTAACATATTCGTTCTCAAAAGCAGACGGAAAACAGATAAATCTAGATTTCTTATAAACTAAAAATGCAAGACAAAATGTTTAAAGTTTTCACTCAATTATGTAAAAGTTTTATGCAAACGGTAAAACAAAACGTTAAGAAAAGTCACCTTTTTGTTCCAAATTTATATTATGAAAATACCGGTATCCGATAAACTTGAAATAAAGAGACTTTAAATTTGTCTAGTTTCAATTGTCAAAATGTTAATGTCCTTGTTCTTTTTTTATACAAATACTACATGTACTATGTAAATCGTGGAAACTCTATACTATTATGCGAAAATCATGGTGGCGTGGAGGCGACATTAGCGAGACTTGTTTCAAGTTTATGGATGAGGAATAAGTCGTGCTGCCAGTGGTCTAACGGCATGGCGGCGTGAAATTCTTTGTCGGGCGGAGATAATTTGACAGATTAGAGGTTCTCCGTGGATTAATTCACACGGAGTCTTATTCTAGAAGATTTAATTTATAGTGTGTTTAATTAAGGTATTTTCCTACAACGTTTTGATTGAAGTTTTTTTTTTCGATCCGTTAAATGCATAATGTATGATGAGTAGTCTTTAAACAACTTACGCTGATTTGTCTTCTTGATGAAATGACAAGAACATAGTTTAAATGTAAAAGACCATTTAAAACATGGGGTAAGTTCTTAAAGACAATGTAAATGATAGAATATTCCTTTTAACTATAAATTTGTAACAATCTTAGAAACAGATTTTAAGAAAGATGCGATGAAAAATGGTCCGTAAATTAGTTTTTGACACATATTACAAAATGGAATGCAAGCTTAATTATAAAAGTTAAATTAGCACCTAAAACTCACTTTTCAAAGATGAAAATTGCCATTTTTGACAAATGTTTTTGTAGTATATACAAAAGTTTTCCGACGAACTCCGTGACAGTTATCACAAGAACTCCTGACAAGTTATCATAAGAACTCCATTCTTCGTATAACAGTTCCTCCCCCGTATTAATTACAAAATTAGAATTGAAATAGAAATCTCGTTAACATAAGACAAAGTACGTACTTATGAAAAAAAAGAAAGATCAAATTTGAATAAATCATGACGTTTTTCGGACCCCTGATTCTCATGATTTTTTGAGCACTTGATTTATCATAAGTACTCGTACGTTAATGCATAAAAATGATGCGATCTTCCACCTTATTTTCCTGTTTTGCTACTTAGTATAAGGATTGTTTTAACCGTAAAATAAATGTTTTTATTTCTAACATTTGCATAATATATAGCATTTCTTTTATATTAATAATATATCTTCAGCTACACTCACTCCATCTCTCTATCATACTTCTTCTTAATTGACTTTAGACATCACAAAATTTCTAGAATGATTGAATTTGTACTGATTTTCATCAGAATCTTTACTTAAATTTACTTTCTGATTTTATACGTTTTTCAACTAAAATAACGTTTAGCTACTATTTAAACAAAAACTTCAAAAGCCTCGTTCCCATCCCCGGGGTTTTGTCTCTTATACCTTAGAGATGCCCCTGTTTGTCTCAGAACACTCTCGACTCTCTCTTGGCTGAAACCTCATAGATCTGCTGGGTGAATATCTCCCAATCTCTGATGAATAACGTATCTACTCCTTGAAGTGCTCAAAGGTGAGTACTGCTTCCTACCTAGTGCTTAGCTCTCCATACGTCAATGCATACCGTGTTTACTTTACCATCATTTTTATTACGCTTGGTTGCATTAAAAGTATCTATTATTAGTAAGCGGCTGACTACCCTAAAGTGAAGCTGGGTTGTGTTGGGGGCAGAGTTTTGTTTACCAATTAAGCTATAACTTGAATTACCAAAGTAAATATAATTGCCAACGGCTGCATCCTGTCCCACTCGACATTTCATAAAACGGAAACCTATTCTACAAAAATTCATAAGAATTCTACTGAGACAATTCACATACTGCAAATTTCAAAATTCGATTCTGTTACTGAAGCATCGTGCACATTATACAGCTTAACTTCGAATTATAAAAACGTAAATTCCTTGATAAAAATTATGGTCAATTGATATCAAAATCCACTGGCATGTTAAATTGTGCATATCACCTTCTGTCTTCTCCTTGATATCTACACGACATTGAGATGTTCAGGCATTGACAGAGGATCTGAAGTACGACCGACGGCGTAAAAAGGAAATGAAACGTGTAACTTGCGGATCAGCAGCTGATATCTAGAAGTCGAAACTATAAAATAGGCAGGGACGACGAGATTTAGTACTAGGGTCCATGAGCCCTTGAAACGCAATTAAGTCTCAAAAGGTAGACCCTTTGCTTGGGACCAGTATTAATCAGGGCTACTTTACCTTACCATTATGAGCTCAGATTTCTATAAGTTTAAGAAACTGTTTGCCACTGAAAGATATACTATGCTCAAATTTCATATTTTAAGAAGACCAATTTTACATGACCTGTAATATGGAACGCAACTTCCAATACACAATTTATTTTTTCTTTTATTCAAATTGGACATATTTGGTAAGAATTACATAGCTTTCAATAAATTTCTTTGATGCAAGGATGAGCATGGTATATCTTTAATAGTTATCTACTTTTGGCTACAATACATCTCTTTGGCTTTCAGTCAATGAAAATTGCACGTCACCACTTTGTGTATTATAATTCACCCTTTAAGAGAATGCTGTTGACATGTCCGGGGTCCGTTCCCGGCAGCAAAAGCTTCTTTTTGTGCTTAAATGGGCGTATGGACCAAAATGCTTAGACTAACATAAATTGTGTATTCTCAATAACAATACTGAGGAATTTCAGAAAAGAAGATTTTGAACACTTTTATGTTAAATACGTATGTATATAAAAAGTGCATGACACCTCGAGAGGGGCCCAGTTTTTACATCGGACTTTATTTCTAAAAACGTTTATAGAGAATCACTAGTTTTGTTTAATTGAACTTATCTAAGCTGTAGCCTTTGTGATTTAAGAGCTTTGTTTTTTATTTATCAGGGATACCAATGAAATCATCGATGAGTTCAACTTTGACCTTTAGTCCATGATTTGGACAATCATGGTAGAGGTTTAATGATATTCGCCAAATATCTAGGCAATAGACATTGTTGTTTCAGAGATAAGGAATTAAAATGATTTCACACTGACTTTCTATATCCAATATACCTAAATCATTTGAACAGTTCTGTTCTTGTATAGATTAATGCTAGGAAAATCTCATGCAAGTTTCATAATTTCAGTAGTTTAAATAGTCGTTTTAATTAATGTAACATAAAACGACGCATGCAAGAATAATGATTTTGTGATTTGCTCACCAGAGAAAACAAATTTTCAACAACATTTAAAAAGAAACAAATCTATTAGTTTACAAGTCAAATAAAAATAAGCCTGCTCCTTTCTTCTTTTCCCTTTTTAAAGGTATCTTGGAAAATTTCTTGAACAGATAAGAACAGTAAGATGCCTTCTTTGATAAATATATATATCTCAAAATACGGCTACTTGTTTCATATCTGTACGCTATAGACTTTCATAGACATTGTTTACAAATATGGCGGTTTAAAAGCATTTTTGGAATATCAAAGGGTAAAAAGAATCACTTTATGACAATCTAAATAATCAGAGAAATCGTTACAAGTCAAATTACATGCTTTGTCAGAAAATGGTACAATGAAAAATGCGGAAGTGCAGTTCTTCGGGATCTTTTTTCTGAAAGAAAATACCTAAAATTGTTTATATTACTTTTTAAAAACATGATATTATACGCAAAATACTCAAACAGTGACTGATTTTCCACATGTTTTTCTTACCGAAATTTGCACGTAACATTATGGTTCATAAGCAGTGATTGGCATGTCGCCATACTTCTGCTAGAACACAGTACATTGATGTTCATATCAAATGTACTTATCACACAAATATTTTCATGCCGAGTATTCAAATGCTAATTATTACATATTTAAGAACAAGACCTGTGCGCTTCACTTTTCTCAGTGCTGAAGCAACATAGAAAAACAGACTTACCTGCCTTTAAAACCTAACGAATAGTTCAAGTGTGAAGTGAATACCTTAAAATTTTTGTTTTAGAAAAGGGCAAGTATTCAAAGTTAAAAAGTAGAAAATAAATTCTAAAGTTATCTTCACTTCCGCTTTCAGAAACATAACTTAAAAGAACTCGGAAAAGGTTAAGTATCTTGAACGCGTTACATTCACAGGAGAAAGTCCGGTTAGCTGAAGAAATTTTTTTTACCGTTCAAGCTGTTAAAGACTTAAAGAGTACTTCAACAAGTTTGTTTACAAATGATATTAACGAAAAGGTTGATAATAATCACAAGGCAGAACATCACGATTACATACACACATTCATACCTTAGTTTAACTTCTAGTAAGCATCTTTAACTACCAGTTGCAGCAATTGAATAAAAAAAATCAACGTAAACAAAATTATTTCTAAGATTTCTTAGATTTTCAAATAACGACTATGCACATTTTCATTCTAATTGCTCCGCGCCCACAGGCGCGAAGCTATTTTTGTGTACTATATATTTTTGTCCATAGACCCGATTTTTATCAATTAATCCGTTCGATTTACAGGTAAAATTAAATTCGGAATCAATAATTTCTATTTCTATTATGTTAAGGTGACAACAGACACTTTCCGTGGTACTACCATAAATGTCATTAAAACCAACACATTTTGCTATTTATTTAAATCTCGTGCTTTAAATGTCTTTGATCTTCATAAAAAATAACATATTTGAAAAAAAATGCATTTGTAAATAATTTGTAAAGTTTTGAACAAAAATCCTATTATTTTAAATCGTCCTATCAAAGCCATTCTTTACTTTTTTGTCATCAAACTTTTGCAAAATATACATAATTATAATATCTAGGGAACCGTGTCTCAGATTATTTCTATTTCTCAAAAAATATTACGTAACGTCAAACATTTGATGCGACTTTTTGCACCATACATTTTACGTAATTAAAGATAATTAAGTCACAGATTCAGCTAACAAAAATCACTGACAGAGTTCCCTCCGTAAATGAATTCCCTTTCATGTGCTTTAAACCACATGAAAATTGCTTGATTATTAAAAATTTAAAGTTATGCCTATTCAAAGTTAGTACGAAGTGTCATAAATCGGCTGTTCTCTCTCAGACCCCTGCGTTTCACGCATAATTATTGCATAACACGCAAATATCGCACCAAAGGGGGTCACAAGTTGCGGTAACATACTCTAACAACTTTTT